ATAGTACTGATAACATAACAAATTAATTCTAGAAAATTTTACTGCACGAAATAAATTTATAAATATTAAAACTATTTAAATAAATATAATTTTGGTTTTTAAATCGTAGAAAATTATAGGAAATTAAGAAAAATACAAATACTCTTTTAAAAATAATAATTAAATATTTTAAAATACTAGAAAATTATTTTAATTAATATCAAAATTTCACGATCACTACAATTATGGTCCACGAGAGGCCACCTAAATATGAAGAGGCGATATGGGAGAAAATGAATAGGAACGCGTGTGGGGTGATCAGGTCCTGTTTGGAACAGGAACTGAAATATGATGTGATTGGGGTGACGTCTGCAATGAAGATGTGGGAAATTCTCAACAACAAGTATCTCACAAAGAGTGTTGAGAACAGGTTGCACTTGCTGCGAAGACTCTTCAGATTTCAGATGTCCAGAGGCACCTCGCTAGCGGCTCATGTGAACAACTACACTAAGTTATTGTCGGACTTGGCGAATATTGATGAGAAGATATCGGATGAGTACAAGGCGATTAGGCTCCTTACCGGATGAGGAGTATGATACATTCGTGCTCACTTTGTTGAACGGGAGATCTTCTATCAGCTATAGTGAAGTGACTAACGTATTGACGAACTATGATTTGAGGAGGAAGGACAATGAGACTTCCCGTGCTAGCACTTCAGGCGAGGCCTTGTCGACGAGAGATAGAAGCCCATATCCGAAAGGTGGTAATAGAGAGAGGTAGTAGCCCATATCCGAAAGGTGGTAATAGAGGAAGGTCAAAGTCTAGAGGCCGCCACCAATTAACAAAGAACCAATGTGCATTCTGCAAGGAGCAGGGACATTGAAAGAGAGACTGCCCGAAGCTCAAGGAGAAAGAGAATGATAAGAAAAAGGGCCCGAATGCCAATGAGGTGAATATTGCGAAAGGCGATGATTCCGATGATTCGTGCTTTTCTCTACTGATTACTCTGGAGGTGAACCATGTGGATGCATCAGATTGGATGCTTGATTCCGGCGCTACTTTTCATGTGACCCCTAGGCGAGACTGGTTTGCATCTTTTGAGAAAGTCGACGGGGGCGTTGTTGTCATGGGAAATGATCAATCCTGTGGCGTTTGTGGCATAGGTACCGTGCGGATTAGAATGCACGATGGAGTAGTCCGTGAGTTGAAGGAGGTGAGATTTGTTCCTCAACTGAAGAAAAATCTTATCTCAGTTGGAGCTTTGGAGGCGAAGGGATTCAAGGTGACTTTCGAAAACGCTGTAGCGAAGGTTACTAAGGGATCATTAGTGGTGATGAGGGGAGTCCGCAATCGAAATTTGTATTATCTGAAGGGAAGCACCGAGATTGGCCAGGTTGCTTCGGCTATTTCAGAAGCGGACATGAGCAGACTTTGGCACTATAGGTTGGGGCACACAGGTGAAAAGTCACTGCAGGCATTGTGCAAGCAGGGGCTATTGAAGGGAGCCAAGAGTGGGAAGATTGAGTTCTGTGAGCACTGTGTTCTTGGCAAGAAGACGAAGGTAGTATCGATGAGTTAGTGCCTACTACATTCAGAGAGGCCGAGCAGAGTTCGGAGGCTGATTCGTGGCAGGGGGTTATGCAGGAGGAGATGGAATCTCTTCATAAGAACGATACATGAGAGCTTGTTGAGCTTCCAAAGGGGCGGAAGGCAATTGGTTGCAAGTGGGTATATACGAAGAAGGAGGGCATCGAGGGCACTCCATTGAGATTCAAAGCTAGGTTAGTTGCGAAGGGCTATGCACAGGAGGAAGGTATTGACTATAATGAGGTTTTCTCTCCGGTGGTGAAGCACTCTTCGATTCGGATTTTGCTAGCTTTGGTGGCACAGTATGGTTTGGAGTTAGATCAGTTGGATGTGAAGACGGCATTTGTTCATGGTGATCTTGATGAAGAAATATATATGACTCAGCCATTAGGATTCCGAGTTGCAGGGAAAGAAAAGTTAGTTTGCAAACTAAAGAAATCGCTATATGGTTTGAAGCAGTCTCCTCGACAGTGGTATAAGCGATTCGATGGTTTTATGCTTGGTCATTCGTATACTCGGAGCCAGTTTGATCCTTGCGTATATTTTCGCAAGTTGAAAGGAGGTGCGTACATTTATTTGTTGCTTTATATCGATGACATGTTGGTTGCCTCTACTTCCAGGTCGGCTATAGATGAGTTGAAAGTTCAGCTTTCAAATGAGTTTGAGATGAAAGACTTGGGTGAGGCGAAGCGCATTCTAGGGATGGAGATTGGCAGAGACAAGAAGAAGGGCAGAATTTGTTTGACACAGGTGGCTTATTTGAAGAAGGTTCTACAGCGATTCCATGTTAGCATGGATACGAAGCCAGTTAGTGTACCTTTGGGAGCCCATTTGAAGCTTTCAGCTGGTCTTTCACCAAAGTCAGTTGAAGATCGTGAGTTGATGTCTAAGACTCCATATGCGAGCGCAGTTGGGAGCTTGATGTATGCAATGATATGTACGAGACCAGATTTGTCACAGGCAGTAAGCATGGTATCGAGATACATGCACGATCCAGGAGTGGGTCATTGGGACGCCGTGAAATGGATTTTGAGGTACATTCGAGGTACGCTCAATGTTGGTTTGGTTTATGAGCGGGACACTAAAGGTGGGCAGCTATGCATTGGTTATGTTGATTCGGATTATGCCGGGGATTTGGATAAGCGCCGGTCTACGACGGGGTATGTGTTTACTTTGACCCGTGCGCCGGTGTGTTGGAGATGCACCTTACAGTCGACGGTGGCTTTGTCTACGACGGAGGCAGAGTATATGGCAGTTACAGAGGCTGTGAATGAGGCTATTTGGCTTCGAGGACTCTTAGAGGAACTTGGTATATCGCAGAGGTCCGTCACTATTCATTGTGATAGCATGAGTGCTATCTATTTGGCGAAGAATCAGGTTTTTCATGCGAGAACGAAGCATATGTTTTTCATGCGCGGACGAAGCACATTGACGTTCGTTATCACTTCGTTCGGGATGTTCTTGAAGATGGCGATGTGGAGATTGTTAAAGTCCACACGAAGGATAATCCGGCAGATATGCTCACTAAGGTGTTTCCGAGCAACAAGTTTGATCATTGTCGAAACTTGTTGCATATTCGTGATTGTTGAGGCCATTGGCGGCCATTTGGTGAACTACGTTCGGCTTGATTCCTTGGGCAAGAGGATACGTAGGCAGTCTTTCAGATGCAGCCGGTTTGGATTAGTTAATGGGGGTGAGATTGTTTGGACTCTCGTTCGGGTTCTCGACTTGTTATGGATTGAGTTCGTACTGGACACAACAAGTGGGACATTTGGATGCTTTGGTGTCAGCTCAGTTTTGAGAAAACTTCACCGAGGTGGAGAATTGTGATTTCGTAGTGGCTTGTGGGGGCCACACCCCACGTGAAGCTAATTACATTGCGTGAGTTCCGCATGGTTTTTTTTGCAGGCCCACGAACCGCAAATGCTGCATATATATATCAATTGTTTATTAGGTTTTGGCGTGTGAGGTGCAGACTGCGGCTGCAGGTGAAGAAAACAAAACAGCGGCTGTGTTGAGATCTTGAGCAGTCCCTTTTAGGGTTTAGATTGAGAGTTTTGTGTGAGGGTTTTATTTGTGAGATTCTTGTGTAAACCCTAGTTGTATTCTCTCCCTCTAATAGTAGATCTCCCCCCTCCTTGCCCCGTGGACGTAGGCAATTTGCCGAACCACGTTAAAATTGGTTGTACTGCTTTTGTGTGATTTGTAATAGCTTTTAGGGTCCCTCGACGCGCAGTCCTAGAGCTGACGAGAGGAAGAGCTAATATCCTACTTTGATAGGATATAGGCTTCAGATTCTTGTTCCCTTTGAGAAACAAGAATTCTTATTGCGACCTGACTCTCTTGTTGTGCTGCCGAAGTGCTGCCGAAATTTCCGCTGCGCGCAACAGCTGCAACTGTCGATTTTTTTTTATTAACTTTTTCATTTGGTAGACTTTTGTATGACATTTTGCGCAAGGAAACTAGTAAGGGTTCACTGCATCGAACCAAGACCGATAATAGACTCATCTTTTTTAGTTTAAGCTGCATATATATATATATATATATATATATATATATATATATATATATATATATATATATATATATATATATATATATATATATATATATATATATATATATATATATATATATATATATATATATATATACACCACTAGGAGCTTTCTCGAAAGCAAAAAAAGTGATTTACTCCGTAAGTTCATGTTCCATGCATTCGTCTTTGTTGATGTCAACTTTGCTCAATTACTTTATGAAGCTTTGTTAATTTTCATCATGCTCCACTGTCCACCTAAAATCTAGAGCAGCTTTAGACTACAACTACATTTTCTTACCTTCTACATCCTAAAAAAATTCTTAACTAAGTGATTCAAATATTTTCTCCTAATAAATTGGATAAACCTCTATCAACTTTCAAATCTGAACACTTGAACTTTGTTCCCGCCTTTCAATTGTCTGGTCTGAAATGAACTATAAATTTTGGTGACCTACTTTGCATTTCACCATGACGGGTATTTGTGTATTGTGTTCAAGATTATGTTGGAACAAGCTTTCCTTAACGGGATGGCAGTGTTTGTCGCTTTCATTTGCACATGGTTTCCATATGGGAACATGTTTGTCGCATTCATTTGGCAGGGTTTTTCTTAATTATATCTTCTAATTTTTTTCAAGAATTGTCTACAAATGTAATTATGAAATAATTTTTGCTTGTTGTATTGATAATAATTATTAGAAGATATGCATATCCTTGTGGTTCTTTTGGGTTTTATCAGAACTTCATCCTTGTTGGTAAGGGTTGTTAGCCTGTTATGTTTGGAATCTTGATGTATGGTTTAATTCTGTTCATTTTTTACCTCAAGAAATCATATTTGATAGACCATTAGCTATTATGTTGTCCTTTCTGAATTTTAACCAGAATGTTCTTTGAGCAGGAGTTCGCGCTGGTCTTGCTTGTTTTTTGTTGTTTACGTGCTATTGGGAGTGTACTTCCTTACTAATCTTATTCTTGCCGTTGTATATGATAGCTTTAAAGCCCAGGTATTTTTATTGTGAACTCATTATTTTGAAGGATGCCTACTTATGTAATTATGCGATTAAAATTCATATATCATATCTTGACACGGGAATGTTTTTATAACTTCTTAGATCAGTACTTTATGGATATTCATGTTGATTTTACTTACCATTTTATTTAGCTTGCAAAGCAAGTTGGTGAGATGGATGCCATGAGGATTAGGGTCTTGGGGAAGGCATTTAGTCTTATTGACAATTATGTAAGATTTTTCTATCTTTTTTATTTTATGTCAGCTGTTTCCCTTTTTCGAGTATGCCAGTATCAAAATAAATTGTTATAATTTGAAATAAGTAGGAGATCCTGTTTTTGGTTTTAGAAAATTGGTTGGTTGAGTTTATATGCATTCTGTAAACAAATTATATATTACTTGTTTCTGTTGATGTTGAAGGAATTCTTGCATGGTACTAAAATGAAGCCAATACAAGAACAAAGGAAAAATAGGTGTCCAAATAAAAAGTCATATAAGTAATTAAATATGTTTTATATCCTTTGCCTGTCATTGTGAACACCATAGCACTCTCTTGCATACTCCTATAATCTATGATATTAAAAGAGACAGGCCTCCACTCATCTTATTAGATAACAATTGTATACAGTAGGCCCTAATTAGTGTAGACTCATGGAAGGAGCTACCCAGCTGGCCCGACATGAGTAAAACTTTTTAATCAAAAGGGTAATTATTTCTCCCAGTCCTGATACTATCTGCGCCTTCTGCATCACTTTATAAGTTGGGCAGCAGGTCACAAGTGGTGTTTGGGAGGACCATTCTCACCAAGCTGATAGCCGTTACCAGGTTTCTTTCCCTTGGTAGTGGCATTCATTTCTTTCAGCTTTTAATCTCTTAAGATTAGAAACATTTTCTTGGGAGTACAGATTAGGGTCTACTCTCTTGAGCTGATGTTGACTAAAGTTGCGTAAACTTGAAACTGCAGACGCTTTAAGCATCTTTCCTGTGATATCATTTGTATTGTCTTGAAGATATGCTAGAGATTGGTTATAGTCATACCTCACAAACTCTCATTCTAGCTGTGTGGTTTCACTCTCATTTTGCACGTAACTCATTATTCTTGATTTGCATTTTGTTCACAGAAGCATGGTTTTCTGAACAAAGAACAATGTATTCGCTTGTTCGAGGAACTGAACAAGTATAGGTAACAATTTTAAACATATGCTTGTCTCAGGGCGTAAAATTTTCTTCTGCATTAGTTTGTTGATTCGGTGGATATGTTAATGTAAAGTCATTTGGAGCATTAGAATGATTCTTATTTATGGCACATGATAAAAATTTATCTGTTTAATTTTCCCAGATTTAATTTTTTCAAAAGCAGAAAGTTATCTTGTATTCTTCCCTAATAAATTTCATTTTGATCTTAATTGCTTTATTGATAATGTCTTTTGTTGACTCGTTAGATAATCTCAGTTGTGGATGCAAGTTATAAAAATCATGTTTGCCTCTTCTTCTATACTCTCCTGTCATGGGGCATTTTGGGGGCAGTCAGTTGCTTATTTCATGCCTTATGGGATATGTGCAATCTATGTCTATACCACTTAATTATAGAAACCTTTTACAAATTACATGTGCATCAAACTGCTATGTTTCTGTCGCTAAAAGCCACAACTCCTGCACATGAAGCGTATTAATGCTGGAAGACTTGTACCTTCCTTACTATATCAAGATGAATGATTTGCACAGGTTTGTACTTGCAGATATGTGCAAACTGTTATCTGTAAGCATTCCAATAGTAATAGGGGGCTGGCAAAAACAACAAAGAAAGAGAAGTAGAAGATTGAGATTTTACCTCATACCGGATCAAATGCGTCAAACAAAAGATCAAATTTAGATATAATCATATATGGAGCATAACCTGAGGAACAATAGATTGGTTTTAAAGTTTAAAGTTCTTATGAGTTGCAATTTTTCAAATTCCATAATGTTAAAATAATTTCTTAAGTAATGTAAATATATGTATGCAAAAGCATGATATGTTTAAGAAAATATAACAGTATTGAATAGTTATATTCATATTTTTAATATTTATCTTAAGATTATATGACATATGTATGTATGTATATATGGGAAACGAGGGCTATTGTGTCCCTCCATAGAGTTACATATAGGAAATGAGGCTATCGTGTCCCCCATAGAGTTAACTAACGTGACACACATCCAAATTGCTACAACTAGATTCATCAATATACCCGAATCATAGGTGATAAGTTGGATGTGTGCAACATCATCGGCACACCAACTAACCCTATGGAGGGACACACCAGCCCTGTTTAGACAAACATATGAAGAAACTGAGAATGGGTTTTTAAAAAAATTTGAACATTTTGTCTAATTTAATAATTATAGTAACAAATTATTTGTCCCAGAAAATATCTACATTTATTACTCATATAAACAAAATAATATATAGAATAAAGAGTATATTGTTGGATTTAAATCTAATTAAATCTAATTGTGGGCACATATGATTAATCAATGTGTATTGCTATCTTTTAGGATAACCCACTAAAGTGATCAATCAAGTTGGGTTAATGGGTATTTAAATAAGTCATGGGGTTATATGTGCAGATACCAGGTTGTAATTGTGATTTGTTGAGGGGCCAAATTATAAAAGTACAACATCTATAAATAAGGGGTTATTGTCCCTAATCTAGGGTTACATTCTCTAATTCTCTTCACCCCCTTGGGTTAATGGGTATTTAAATATAATCATGGGGTTATATGTGCAGATACCAGGTTGTAATTGTAATTTGATGAGGGGCCAAATTACAAATGTACAACACCTATATATAAGGGGTTATGGTCCCTAATCTAGGGTTACATTCTCTAATTCTCTTCACCCCCATCTAGAGAGAAATTCGGCTAGAGAGAACCCTAAGGTTAGAAGATCAAAACCCATCTCAAGTTCAAGCAATGGATTCAGGTATAAGCTTCCGCTCCTTTATGATTCTTGTTAATCTCTTCGAATTAATCATGACTATATGGTTTTAGATCTCAAGTTTTATGTAGATCTAACAAGTGGTATCAGAGCCACCATTGATTTGTTCTAAGAGATTAAGATTAAAATTAAAGTTCTTTGATCTTAATTTGTGTTTGTTTCGGATCCATTTTCAGATGAACAGTAATTGTTTTTTTGAGTGAACAGAAAAAAATTTATTTTCGGATGAACAGTAAAGTTTTTTATTTTCGGATGAATAGTAAAATTTCCATGTTGGTTGGTTTTTCTTTCGATTTTTGGATTTGTAGCATTTATGAACTCTAAAGTTCATTTCTTTTGTGTTTGATTCAATTATTGAGGTTTGGATCTAAATATTTTGAGTTCAAAAAATCGACAGAAAAATAATTATTTTATTTTGGGATTTTTTAATTTGTCGTCAATCTACAAAACTCCTCGTCGGAGTTGATTCAGCGGCGGCGGTTTCAGATTAAACCCTCAAGGAGTTCGTGCGCGTGAAAACGTGCGCAAATTAAGGAGGTGGTTACCTCATTTTAAGGAGGTGGTTACCTCATTTTAAGGAGGTGGTTACCTCAATTTAAGGAGGTGGTTACCTCAAATTAAGGAGGTGGTTACCTTAATTTAAGGAGGTGGTTACCTCAAATTAAGGAGATGGTTACCTCAATTTAAGGAGGTGGTTAACTCAATTTTTTGACGAGGCTTGAAAGCTTCAAACGAACCTTGCGTTCGTTCTCAAACGAACCCACGTTCGTTCTCTAATGAAACATGCGTTCGTCAAACGCTGCGTTCGTTGACGCTGCGTTCGTTCTCAAACGAACATTGCGTTCACTCGTCCATTGCGTTCAAACGAACATTGCATTCGTTCATTCGTTGCGTTCATTCTCAGGTCGAACAACGCGTTCGTTTTCAGACGAACATTGCGTTCGTGCTCAAGTCGAACATTGCGTTCATTCTCAGGTCGAACATCGCGTTCGTTTTCAGACGAACATTGCGTTCGTGCTCAAGTCGAACATTGCGTTCATTCTCAGGTCGAACATCGCGTTCGTTTTCAGACGAACATTGCGTTCGTGCTCAAGTTGAACATTGTGTTCATTTTCAGGTCGAACATCGCGTTCATTTTTCAAACGAACCTCGCATTCGTTCTCAAGCTGAACTTCACGTTCATTTTCAGACGAACCTCGCGTTCGAACTCAATACAGTCGAACCTCACGTTCGAAGTCAAGCGAACTTCGTGTTCACTATGGTTAAGCCTCGGCTTTTCATGGGTCCACTTTGGTATACTTAATTTATTCAATTAAGTTATGGGCCCTAATTAAGCTGTGAGACCCCAATTAAGTTTTTGGAAATTCAGTTGATTTAAATTAAAACCTTTTAATTTAAATCTAATTTGGTTTTTATCACTTACAAGTTAATATTACTGTCCAAAGACTTGATATTAATGTTGTGCCGGTATCTTGGATGGGGTTTGTCATTATTTGAATTTTATTGATTATGGTTATTGATGTGAGCATTTTTTGTTTTATTTCAGCTAATGCATCTGCTGCAATAATTTCTGCTAACATCAACTCAATTCCCATGTTAAATGGGACAAACTTCAAGGTTTGGAAAGAGAACATATTAATTGTTCTTGGCTGCATGGATCTTGACATGCATTAAGAACTGAACAACCCCAACCTCTCAATGCGGATAGTACTCCGGATGCAAAGAAGGAGCATGAGAAGTGGGAGCATTCAAATCGCATGAGTCTTATGATCATTAAGCACGATGTTCCGGAAGCCTTCAGGGGCATAGAATCCGAAGGGATTACTAAGGCTAAAGATTTCCTTGCCGAAATTGAGAAGCGTTTTGCGAAAAACGATAAGGTAGAAACAAGCACACTCTTAGCTCGCTTGATTTCAATGAAGTATAAGGGCAAAGGAAATATCAGGGAGTACATTATGGAAATGTCTCATATTGCTTCAAAGCTTAAGGCACTTAAACTCGATCTTTGTGACGAGTTATTAGTGCATCTGGTTTTGTTGTCTCTTCCTGCACAGTTTAACCAATTTAAGGTCAGTTATAACTGTCAAAAGGAGAAATGGACTCTAAATGAGCTCATTTCATACTGTGTGCAAGAAGAAGACAGGTTGAAGCAAGATAAGACAGAAAGTGCTCATTTGGCCTATGCCTCTAAGGATAAGGGCAAGAAAAGGAAGAATGTAAAGAAGCTGCTAAGGGGTCCAGTTCAGAAGAAACAACATAAGGATAATCAGGGTTGTTTCTTCTGTAACAAACCTGGACACGTTAAGAAGGATTGTACAAAATATCATGCCTGGCGTGATAATAAGGGTACGTTCCTTACTTTGGTCGTTTCTGGGGTTAATTTAGCTTCAGTACCTAGAAATACTTGGTGGTTAGACTCTGGTGCTACTACTCACATAAGTGTTTCTATGCAGGGTTGCCTGAGCTACCGAAAGCCAAGTGATGTTGAAAGACACATCTTTGTGGGCGACGGACAATCGGTAGATGTGGAAGCAATTGAGCACTTTAGGTTGCTGTTAGGAACTGGTTCATATTTGGATTTAAAAGATACTTTTGTAGTACTGTCTTTTAGACGGAATTTGGTTTCTGTTTCTGTATTGGACAAATCAGGTTATTCTTGTTCATTTGGAAACAGTCAATTCAGTTTATCTTTTAATTCAAATGTTGTGGGAAGAACTGGTTACTTGAGTACTTGTGACAACCTATATTTGCTTGATACAATTGCTTCTTATAATGAATCCTTGCATGTGGAATCACGTGGTACTAAATGTAAATTAAATAAGAAGTATGATCTCTTATTCTTCTTTAACAAAGTCTCTCTGGGGAGAAGCACTAAAGACAGCAGCTTACATTCTGAATAGAGTACCAAGTAAAACAGTTGCTAAAACACCTTATGAGTTTTGGACTGGTCGAAAGCCCAGTTTAAAGCATTTACATAGTTGGGGATGTCCAGCTGAGGTAAGGCCTTATCGGCAAAATGAAAAGAAATTAGACTCCAAAACAGTTAGCAGCTACTTTATTGGGTACTCTGAATGCTCTAGGGGCTATAAGTTTTATGATCCCACTATAAGAAATATTTTTGAGACAAGAACAGCAACATTATTTGAGGATGTTGAGTTTTGGGGGAGAAATAAGGTTAGAGACATTGCTTTTGAGGAGGAATTGGCTTCAGATCCAATCCATACAGTTACTTTTGACAATATTCAAGTTCCTATACCTGTTGTTGCTCAAGAAGTAAATCTGGAATCTCAAGATGACAATGTTGAACAACTCCCTGTTCCAGAAGAACAAACTCAACAACCTCAAGAACCAGTGCCCTTAAGGAGATCCACGAGAGAAAGGAGAAATGCTATTCCAGATGATTATATTGTATTTCTCCAAGAACATGAGAAAAGTAGTGGAATGTTGGAAGATGATCCAATCAACTTCTCTCAGGCCATGAAAAGTTCTAACTCTCAACAGTGGATTGATGCCATGAATGAAGAGTACAAGTCTATGCAAGACAATAAGGTTTGGGAACTTGTCCCATTACCAGAAGGTGCAAAACCAATTGGTTGTAAATGGATTTTTAAAACCAAGCGGGATGCAAACGGTAATGTGGAGAGGTATAAGGCGCGTCTTGTGGCTAAAGGCTATACTCAAAAGGAATGTATTGATTATACAGAGACTCTCTCCGGTTTCATCGAAAGACTCTTTCAGAATAATCATGACACTTGTTGCTTATTATGATCTTGAGTTACATCAGATGGATGTTAAGACTGCATTTCTCAATGGAGACATTGATGAGATGATTTATATGGTGCAACCAGAAAACTTTGTGTCAGGAGACCCAAAGAATATGGTTTGCAAATTAAGGAAATCCATCTATGGACTCAAGCAAGCTCCTCGTCAATGGTATCATAAGTTTCAACAAATAATTATCTCGTTCGGTTTTGAGATGAACATTGTTGACGACTGTGTATATCACAAGTTCAGTGGGAGTAAGTATATCTTTCTGGTTCTGTATGTCGATGACATATTGTTTGCCACTAATGATATAGGCATGTTGCACAAAACCAAGAGATTTCTAGCAAAGAATTTTGAGATGAAAGATCTTGGGGACACCTCTTTTATATTAGGAATCCAGATACATCGAGATCATGAAAGATCTTGGGGACACCTCTTTTATATTAGGAATCCAGATACATCGAGATCGCTCTCGGGGTATTCTAGGATTATCACAAAAGAGCTATATCGATAAGGTACTTAAAAGGTTTGGCATGCAAGACTGCAGACCAGGAGATACCCCTGTTGCTAAAGGAGACAAGTTCAGTCTCAATCAGTGCCCTAAAAGTAACCTTGAAATTCAGGAAATGCAGAAGATTCCTTATGCTTCGGCTGTAGGAAGTCTAATGTATGCTCAGGTATGTACGCGTCCGGATATTGCGTACATTATTGGGATGTTAAGCAGATACTTAAGCAATCCTGATATGGATCATTGGATAGCAGTCAAAAGGGTTATGAGGTATCTTCAGAAAACAAAAGATTATATGCTTACATATAGAAAATCAGAACAGTTGGAGGTCATTGGGTATTCGGACTCTGATTTTTACTGGATGCCAAGATAGCAGAAAATCTACATCAGGCTACATTTATATGTTAGCAGGAGGAGCTATATCATGGAAAAGTGTAAAACAAACACTAGTAGCTTCCTCCACTATGGCAGCAGAATTTGTAGCTTGCTATGAGGCATCCAATCAGGGAATATGTTCCTCCACTATGGCAGCAGAGTTTGTAGCTTGCTATGAGGCATCAAATCATGGAATATGGTTGCGAAATTTTGTCACTAGACTGCGCATTTTGGAACATATTGAAAGACCACTGAGGTTATTTTGTAACAATAAATCTACAGTTATGTATTCCAATAACAACAGGAGCTCAACTAAATCAAAACATATTGATATTAAGTTCCTGGTTGTAAAAGAAAGGGTACAGAGTGGACAGATATCTATAAAGCACATTGGGACAAACTCCATGATAGCAGATCCTCTTACTAAAGGATTGCCATCCAAGGTCTTTCATGAGCATACTACTCATATGGGTGTGGTGTTATTCAAGGATATCCTGATTTAGTGGGAGTTTATAATTTTCTGGTGCTTTGTGTTTGGTTGTATTGTCTGATCAGAATAAAATATTCAGTTAAGACACTCTGTTACATTATGTTTGGTTTTGACCTCACTAAATGAGGACCAGTTGAAAATAGACATGTATTGATCACATTGCATGTAATTTTCATGCTGCGCATCCATGATTGATCTATGTCGTTTGATTGTATTGGTATACATGACCATTGATGGGTCGAGTCACCATAAATGTGACAAAGACCGCTTTGATCCTATATTGATATAGTCAATGGACGAGATTGTTCAGAAATATCTTTTTAATGATAGCAATTTTGAGCTCATAAGGTTATACACAATTTAAGGAATCATATGGTGCCCAAGTGGGAGATTGTTGGATTTAAATCTAATTAAATCTAATTGTGGTCACATATGATTAATCAATGTGTATTGCTATCTTTTAGGATAACCCACTAAAGTGATCAATCAAGTTGGGTTAATGGGTATTTAAATAAGTCATGGGGTTATATGTGCAGATACCAGGTTGTAATTGTGATTTGTTGAGGGGCCAAATTACAAAAGTACAACATCTATAAATAAGGGGTTATTGTCCCTAATCTAGGGTTACATTCTCTAATTCTCTTCACCCCCATCTAGAGAGAAATTCGGCTAGAGAGAACCCTAAGGTTAGAAGATCAAAACCCATCTCAAGTTCAAGCAATGGATTCAGGTATAAGCTTCCGCTCCTTTATGATTCTTGTTAATCTCTTCGAATTAATCATGACTATATGGTTTTAGATCTCAAGTTTTATGTAGATCTAACATATATCTCCCTTGAACTATTAGATCCACATCAACAATACTACAGAAGAAGAACATTGATAGCCATGATAGAGATTCAATACACACTACTATGTACTGTTTGTAGTCAAATCCAATCTTTAGACCATTTCTTGAAATGCTTAGTGAATGATTTTCTGTAAACTGTACCTACTCAGCACAATCTCTTATTATTCTATATGGCAATTATCTTAACGATTCATTGTTAACTTGTCTTCAATTTTTCTAGGTCATTGCCAAAAACATCGCGGGAAGATTTCGAACTGATTTTTGATGAGCTTGATGATAGCGGCGATTTCAAGGTTTTCCGTCCTCTTTTCTTTCAAGCATTCGCACATGCCGTCAACCCCAAGAAAAAGACCAAACACATCCACCATTCCCCATCCCAGCCAACTCAACCTCTCTTTTGACTGTCACCTCAGTCTAAATTTTTAAGTTTTAATGTATATATTTTCTAAGATTGATATTTATCTGCATATCTTCATTTTGTGGAGTTTTCTTATTCAATGATGGTTCACGGCTGCCCCATTTTGATGGAAAAAAAGAGTATTCATCTGTTGGAGATGCCCTTCTGTCCAAAGTATGACCACTTCTGTCCAAAGTATGACCATTTTACAAATTAGCATCAAACTTTGCAACTAATATATTCAGCTTCTTTAATTTCAGGTTGTAGCTTTTGTTTTGGAGGCTTTCTTTGCTGAAATGGAACTGGAGACACCCAATGGACGTGAGGAACACGAGGTTGTTATTTATTTAAATATGCACTTTCATAAGATTGTTAACTGTTTCATTTACAGTTTTACACTTGCTTTTGTCGTGTTTTGCACATTGGACTAAGTTTACTTGTTCTCCAGCCAAGTTCTAAAATTTTAATCTGTATCTTGTATAGTTATTTGTGTCTGTAGATAGTTACTTCACTTTACCGTGGGGAAACTGTTCCGGAACTGCCACTATTAGTTCCCATTTAACTGTGCGAAATGATATGTTTGTGGTAACTTGAGTCATCAAATATGTAGCCATCTTTTTGGCATTCTCTCTTAATTCTGTCACTGTCGGGATAGCTTATATGCTCAGGAACTCAAATTTGCAGGTTCTCATTTTATTGCTTGAAACGATCTTTCATCATCTCCGTATTGATGATGTAAGGTGAAGTTCTTCTTTACTCAAAACAAAAGGTGAAGTTTCCAAGAAGAATCAAAAGAGAAATGAGTTTTAACAATAAAATCAGTGCTAGTGTACTCTATGGCCAATCGTTGAAACTATGAGATAGTTTTGTACATGGATATATGGGAACTTATAAATGTACATTCAAACAAATCTTAGTTATCTGCAAACATCAGAAATGAATAATAGCTTCTAAATGTACATACAAAATTTATATTTGTATGAAATATATCTCTTACTTACCTGCTAACATTTAGCAACAATGTGTTTTACAAAAGCCAAATGTTTGTGCTTGATATAGCTGTAGTGTTTTGGGAAAATTAGGGTTAGTTTCTCTCATTGAGAGACCCCTCTTTTATATTAATGCATTCTTACAACTAGGTCCTTACAACATTGACTAATTCACTTAGTATCTAAATAACTCAACACTCCCCCTCAAGATGGGCGATAGATATCAATCATCCCCATCTTGTTACAAAAGATATCATACTCTCTAGAACCTAATCCTTTTGTTAAACAATCAGCTAACTGCTCTTCTGATTTCACATAGCTCAAAGTCAGAACTCCTCTATTCAGTTGCTCCTTGATAAAGAACCGATCAATCTCCACATGTTTGGTGCGATCATGCTGAACTGGATTATTTGCAATATTAATTGCCGATTTGTTATCACACCAAAGTTGTAAGGAGTCTCTTCTAAACAAGCGCAGCTCAGATAATATGTTTTTTACCCACATCAACTCGCACAGACTAACTGCCATAGCTCTGTACTCGGCCTCAGCTGTAGACCTAGCCACCACATCTTGCTTCTTGCTACGCCAAGATACGAGATTGCCTCCAACAAATACACAGTAGCCTGTAGTGGATCTACGATCATCCATACAACCCGCCCAATCAGCATCACAATAGCCTTTAATTCTCAGATGTCCAAAACTCCTGAACCATAACCCCTTTCCTGGGCTTCCTTTAATATATCTAAGAATTCTGCGAACTGCCTCCATATGCTGCTCTCTGGGATCATGCATATATCTACTCACCACACTCACTGCATGAGTAATATCAGGTCTCGTATGGCATAGATATATAAGTCGTCCAACCAATCTTTGATATTGCTCTTTACTCACAGGGTCCCCACCCTCGGCACTCATCTTATGATTCTGCTCAATAGGAGTAGATGCAACTCTACACCCCAACATTCCTGTCTCTGAGAGAAGATCCAGAGCATACTTCCGCTGAGAAAGCACTATACCCTTTCGCGACCTTGCAATTTCAATTCCGAGAAAGTACTTCAACTGCCCCAGATCTTTAACTTCAAATTCCTCTCCCAATTTCTTCTTCAACAGTAGGATTTCCTCAGCGTCATCTCCAGTGATTACAATATCATCAACATAGACCGCCAGGATAGTGATACGAGTTTTGGAGTGCCTGTAAAACACAGTATGATCACCATTGCACTGCTTGTACCCCATACCACAAACTGCCAACCTGAATCTATCAAACCATGCCCTCGGAGACTGTTTTAACCCATACAAAGACTTCTTCAACTTGCACACCTTCCCAGCTACTTGAGAAGTAGTGAAGCCTGGTGGAATCTCCATATATACCTCCTCTTGAAGATCTCCATGCAAAAAGGCATTCTTGACATCTAGCTGATGTAGTGGCCAATTAAAGTTGGCAGCACATGACACCAACACTCTAACAGTACTCATCTTTGCTACTGGAGCAAATGTCTCGTCATAGTCAATGCCGTATGTTTGGCTGTAGCCTTTAGCAACCAATCTGACCTTGTATCTGTCGATCTTGCCCTCTGGAGTTTGCTTAACCGTATACACCCACTTACATCCAACAGCACGCTTCCCAGCTGGCAAAGGTACCAACTCCCATGTGTCATTCTTCTTCAAGGCCTGGAGTTCCTCGTGCATGGCATTCAACCACCTAGGATCTTGCTTAGCTACCTGCCAGTTGTTAGGTACAGGCACTGAATGCAACGATGCAATGAATGACTTATATGCAGGTGGAATGGATGCATATGAAATATAATTCGCAATATCAGTATCCCAATTACCAAACTTAGCTGGAGGTTTTCCAGCATTGACTCTAGAGGTTCTGCGGGGCAAGACAGGAGTATCAGAGGTATCAGGGAAGGAATCGTTACCTATCGACTCAGGTGGAGGAGAAGAGCAAGGCACTGGAGAGGAGGGACTTGGGTCATCAACATTTGTGGGTACTGACACAGGCACGGGAGGCGGCTCATGCTGCTGTTTCTGTCTCCTCGTGTATACTCTCAGCTCCCCCTGACTTTGACTACCAACTCCTAAGTCACCACCACTACTCGGCGATGTACCATCACTACTCGGTGACTCAAGAGGACATGGAATCATCCCGACCACAATATCATTCTCATGTGACATGCCTAGATGCACCTGAGTCTATGATCCAATCAACATGAGTTTTAGTGGATGCAAGTGCCTGAACCTGTGTACCTTTGTTCGCATGAGCATAACCAATAAAGTTACCAAAGCATGTAGTTGTATCCAGATTCTGAGTGACTTGTCCCTTGCCCTTCGAACTCTCAGCCTGAAGCTTGAACAGACATAGTTCCTTCAGCTCTGTTATTTCAGCTCCAGTCATCCCAATAGTAGCCTGGGACTCATCTGCCACAGCTAGGTAAGCAACTCCTCGGCCTCCACGTCTCCTGCCTCCTCGACCTGCATGGCCACCTCTCTGTCCTCTGCCTCCTCGGTTGCCACCAGTGTTACGGGGTTGAGGGCAATTGTAGCTGATATGTCCTTTCTTTCCACAATTATAGCACTCTCTATCATCTCTGATGTGAGCATCCGGAACCACCAATGCCGAGCGGACAGCAGGTGAGGCCTCACCTGTCATCACCTTCTGTCTGATCTCCTCTTGTTCCATCGATGCAATAGCCTCATCCAAAGAGGGAAGAGAAGACAGATGGCACATTGCTGCCCTCCTCCCCTCAAACTTTGGGTTCAGACCCTTAAGAAAACGAGCCACATGCCTGCGCTCAAGATATTGTCTCCCCAAAAGAACATCTGTCGGGTTTTGTAGAGATAATGGATCATAGTGATCCAAATCCGCCCATAAGTGACGTAGCTCTGCTGCATACTGGTGGACTGTCTTCTCCCCTTGTGTGGTAGCATCAATCTTCTCCTCCACTTCCATCATCATCATCACACTCCCAGCTCCAGAGTACATCCCCTCCAATGTCCTCCAAACATCAGCTGCACTTGAGATAGACTCCACCATCCCAGCTATGGTTGGAGACACAGAAGTCAACAACCAAGAAACCACCAGAGAATTAGTATTACTCCATATGTTCCACTCAGCACTCGTCTTATTCTCCGGCTCAATGCATTCCCCCTTCACATACTTTTCAAATCCTTTGATTCGAAGGTTCAGCAATGCCCTCCGAGACCAACTCAGATAGTTTCTTGTCCCCTCAAGCTTGATGTCATTCGGCAGCAACTTTACCCTCTCCATTACCTGCGTCGACTCCGATGTGGTCACAACCGACCTACTAGAATTCTCCTCTAGTTTGGTCTGAAATACTCTGGCCACCCCCTCCAGAATCTCCTTCAATTCCTGACTAGTCACAGGTGTTCCCATCTTCACACTTGTTTCTTGTTCCCATCTTCACAGTTGATTCCCCTCTCTTCCCAAGTGATTCCCCTCTCTTTCAGCAACAACACCTAAGAAAGTAATTTAAAAAGAAGGTGCACACCCCAAAAAATCTTACTGAAATATTAATCCTCAAGATTCTCTGGCTAAGTCTCTCCAGCCCAACTGCCATCGACGCTGCCAAAAGAAAGAAATGTCGCACCAACCCTTCAAAAGAACAACACCTCCTTCAAGCCTCCTTCAAAAAAGAAATCGATGGCCAGTCCTTCAAAAGAACAGTACCTCCTTCAAACCTCCTTCAAAAAAAGGTCGCACCAGCCCTCAATCACCAGTCCTCCTTCAAATCCGAGGGCTACAGAACCCTAGGTCAGGGGACTCGTCGGAATGGAATCGTCGTCCATCGAGTTCAGCAAGTCTCGGAGAGGACTCGACGACACCCTTGACAGCGAGCATCAGCGAGGGTTCAGCAAGGGCAGCGTCGTCTAGGGCATCAAGAGTTCAGCAAGGGCAGCGTCGTCTAGGGCAGCGTATCAAGTAACCAGTATCAGTGTGAGTACCTGAATCAAGCTCTCAAGTATTTCTCGAGCAGTCTGTGAATTGCAGATCAGAGTGCTAAATGATGTCTAAGTAGATAGTGATTCATATTCATATTTGGAATTTTGAATCAAAGATCCTGCATTTCTACATTTGGGTACTTACGAATTCAATGATAAGATGTTTACTTGCAAGACACATTTAATGGAAATACATCTGAGGTGTTCGTGCTGGCTATTGCTCATACCTCGTCAATAAAGGGATTTCAGATCCACTACATCTTTAACATTATGCCTGCACAATATTTATGATATCATACTTTCTTGCTCCAGGATTCATCTAGAAGGAAGGACCGGCGCCGGCATGTTGGGTAATGTTTAGCATCATGGAAGTTAGTTAAGGATTTTTCTTCAGAAGGCATGACTCTTCCATTTGTTCTTGATTCAGTGTAAAAACAAGGAGCCGCACAGTTGACATTCTTCTTCATCATATGCTAAGTGCAGAACTGAGTGATAGCCAACCTGCAAAAGAATAGTTTATCTTGGTCCTTCCACGCTGGTAATGAATAACTTCTTTACCATATTTCTATTTTATATCATAGTTCATTTCCCACAATTCTTTTTCTGCTGGTATTGTAGTTAGCTTGAAATTTGCTCCTGTAAAAAATTTTCAATTAGACATATCTATTTTGTTGTCTTGTAAGTTTTTGGAAATCATATTCATGCATGATTGTCTATTCTTTTCATGTTGAACTGCACCGGTTGATAGCTGTACTGAGGATAAATTGTTCTTTTCTTGTGAGGGAAACAGTGAAGGATGAAAAATGGTAGAGTTATTTAGTTCCATTTATGCACATGTGATGGTGCACGGTAGTCATGGCCTTTGGCAATGTAGTAGTTAAGTACAAAATCAGGAATCTTTGTGTCACCCAGTCCGCTGAAAATGTGGTGATGATAATTGACAATGAGGAGCATCTATGTAACGAATACGGGCGTTCATCACAGTGTTGAGGAAAATGCTGGAAGTATGACCTCTTTGGTTAAGTGTCCGGTTCTTCTCCTCGCATCTTTTATATACTCCCTTTGTGAACCGTAACCCCAACCAGAATATTTGTTAGCCTTGACCTTCCCTCAAAGGAAAAAAAAGGTTGAAAAAAGAAAGAAAAAGAAATTGACCTATGATGACATGGGTTGGGCACAGTCGAGCCTTTCAGGTGATTAGCTTTTCCTGTATAAGACTCTACTTCAGATTATTTCATTGCGGTCTATCATTTCTCGTCCATGGGAGATCAAGTTCATTTATCTGGGTTGATCTGCAAATAAAGTATAGGTCATCACCACCAACATTTGTCACCTAGCCCTTTCTTGGGAAAATGGGTTAAGCCTCGAAACACTCCTCAGTCGAGAAAACCCTATAAAGGAGTTGACTAAACTAGCGCGGCCAGCTTCTTCCAAATTAGTGCACAGCTCTTGGCAACAGTCAACTATGAACCGGTGGAGGGGCCTAAGTATAAAGCTTTCAAGAGTCAGTTGTGGGAGGTAGACTTGCCTTTTCCTACCTTTTTGTTTCTCATCTTTCATTCAGAATCATAATGCAGCGAAGAAGTAACCCTCCAAGTTCTCCAAAACTGGGAAGACCATTTAGAAGAGTAGCTCAGACCAAAAGGTTGGCTATAAGCCTATAAAGAGTTGCACTAGAGCCAAACGGAACTGCACTCCAAAGAGTATAGGTTTTCATTCGAATAGAAGCATACTAGATGGTAGTTGTTTCGAAAGATTAGGTTTGGTTGGATAGTAATTGAGATAAATATCTAGTAATTCGGAAATAAACTAAAAGGAGGTGGTAGCGTAGCATTAGGTTGTAATAGGCCAAGAAAACAGTATATCTTGATATTCTAGTTTTGGTTTGGTAAGATATTTCCGCCTCTTTTAGTTGGATTAAAAAAAATTTCTTTCCATACTTTAGTTTTTGAAACTTGTATAGGAAGTGGACTGACATGCAAATTCTTTTTTCTTCAATGCCGTAAGGCGTCCTTTTTCTCTTTCATACGATGAACTCTTCTGTTGGACAGGGACCATACAAAAAGCAAAGAACGGGAGATCCTTCCATCATCAAGTGGAAAGGTTGCAACTTAACAAGATACAAGTATCTATTATATCAATGTGTGTGGGTCATCAAGTCTAAAGTTCATGCACCAAATTTGCAAGGAGCATATCTGAAGTTATCCCCATGTGTCGTGAGCCCACTGATATATTTGCTTTATTGTGCCGTATTCTCGTCTGCTGCACTTGAGTATCTTGACAAAGCGAGTACCTAGACTTTTTTTTTTCATTGAAAGGATCACTTTGTAATCTCCTCTGCTTTGGGAGAATTTTGTCAAATGAATTGTTTCTATTGATAGACTTCAGCAGTGGACTTTTTCGTATTGTTGCTGTATGCTGCATGTCCCGCGATCCAGTTATTCAAGGAACTCGCATCTCCATGAGGACCAGATAAAGAAGCAGAAGCGAAGTAGGAGAAGATGAACACCACTAGAGGGTAGGCTGTGCTCGATATTCCAGCGAAGAGAGGGCGTGAAAGTGTACAGAACCAGCAAGCTTTTGAGCAAAATAGATCCTAGCAAACGGGTACCATACCAGTGGAAAAAACATAGTAGGACCTGGGCCTAATGAATTAGAGCTGGCGCAATTATAATGCATTTAGTTTTTTTTTTTTAAATGTGAACGCCTGATATCTGATGGAAGATCTTTCTTCTAAGTTACTACCTCTAAATTTGTTATATCCTTCATTAGAGGTTTCCACTTAAAAATTATAGAAGTTGTGAACCAAGGGAACTGACGAAGGAAGAAGAGTTCATCAGAATGCTGATGGTTAGCGCCATGAGCTACCTGGTACTCGTCGTCGAGGCCCTATCTTCTAAAAATTGTACGAGTCTCGACATCCCCAAATCCGCATCTGCAGAAGCCAACTGTTGATTCAACTTTATGACTTGTTACCGATGCTTTTCTTCCCTTCGGTTTTCTTCAGTGGCCATCTCAAATATAGGTGGATACAGAGCAGAGCATCTCGTTCTGTCGCAACTTTGAGGGATGGCATAATTACACGGGTTCTTTAGCTCTCTATATATCTCTTGCAAAATCAACAACAAAAACCATTAACCTAATATCAAACCCGTGCTGATAGACAACAGTTTTAAATCTCAAACCCACCTTTCATGCAGAACTGAATGATAATTTCTCAAAACAACACAAGGATTCGATAGAAAATGAAGTTGTATAATACAATCTCAAGCAATTATCCACGAAAGGAGTAAAAACTATGGGGGCACTCAAGACCCAGAAATTTAAAAGTTTTTAAATAGTGAAAAAGAACAGGTGTAAATGATTAAACCAAGCAGAAAGGCATCTAACAAATCCAATTCGCGTGAACGAGCAAAACCAAGCAGAATTGCGCCCAACAATTCCAGCAGCAGAGTGCATTCCTGTAAATGGATGTAGAAATAACACGAGGAGGAGGGAGGAAAACCAATGTGGAAGGAAGCAACACAATGTTCCTATCTACAGTTGAAGAACTGCTGTGCGCTGGTGCATTGGAGCTTGAAAAGGGATATAAACACGACATAATAATATACGTTTCACGCTCTGCAAACCTCGAAACCAGACATAATAATACTATACTATACTATACTATTATAAAAGTATGTTGATATGTTAAAACATTTCTTTCTAAATCAATAATTACCAAAACAGGTATAATAAATTATTAAGTAGACAATTACGTGAACGGATCTTATCTAATACTATTATAAAAGTGACTTAGTATGTTAAAACATTTCTTCCGAAAATACCCTTTTAAACATATACATACATACATAAAATACATGCATCCATACATAAACCATAGCCATACATACATAACCCCCATTTAAATGCATACTCATAACCCCAAAATAATTTTATTTTATCATCACTATGTTGAATCAAGTAATTTTATTTTATTATGACTATGTTGTTTACACTTTTATAAGTTCCCATCATCATATTAATCTCTTCATTAATGTTAATTCCTTTACCTCATATCACAACTCACACTGACATTTATGGGCAACAGAAAAATAAATGCTCCGGAGGGTATAAGTGAGTATTTGAATAGACGTGTTTTCATGATCATAGCAATCAAAACGTTTATAATAAAAACATTTATAAACCCAACTAAATGCATACTCTAAACCCCCAAATAATTTTATTTTACCATCACTATGTTGAATCAAATAATTTTATTTTACCATGACTATGTTGTTTACACTTTTGTAACCTCCTATCATCATATTAATCTCTTTCATTAATGTTAATTCTGTTACTTCATATCACAACTCACACTAACATTTATGGACAACAGAAAAACAAATGCTTCGGAGGGTATAAGTGAGTGTTTGAATAGACGTGTTTTCATGATAATAACAATCAAAATGTTTATGATAATAACATTTATAAATTATTATCGACATTAATTTAGTAATAATAAAATTTAAACGTTGGCATCATTATTAGCTGGAATGTAGCTTGATTTAACAATCAAAACGTTTGTATGCAGATATATACTTTTTTATAGTGAGTATTTGAATATAGACTCGAAACAAATGCTCATCTATCTTTTCATTAATGTTAATTCCATTACTTCATAATTATTTGACAAGCCATTATTACTACATAATTCGGTTATAAGTTAAATCTCATATAAATCTAATCCATACACAACTTCCATCTTACAAAATCTTACCAAATC